ATAAATAAAGTCCACAACATTTTCATTTTCGTCAAGAATACTGAAAAATGGCAGCTAGATATTAAGGGTTAATATTGCAGCATTAACGTAATTTTATACATACCACCATCAATAACAGTCTAGCCGACGCTACTTGACGTATTAGAAGCCACATCACTTCCATCAGCTCCTAAGGCACTGTTACATAACCTCCCTGTAATGGCGATGGTTCATAGAAGACTTGTAGATGTATGTAAATATGCATCTCAATACGCACACCGCAGAGACATGATTAAAAATATGGTTCTTCAGAGGGAGGTTCATTCTTACTATCAGAGGCCGTGTAGTAGCCTATATACCGAGTCATTCTTCATAATGCTTGTGTTTACAGTAAGAGCAGTTCCCATGTGTGCACATTTGGCCTATCAACACCGCAAACTGAGCATACAAACAGTTTGAATAAAAATATAGCACTTTTTTTTTGCTAATGCAATTATATCCATATGCCTTTCCTAGTGCAGCTTTATACTGCAGATGTTCAAAATGTCTGAAGGCTCTTTTTGGAGAAGACGCGAGTCACGACTCTCTTTGGTGTTTCAGCTAATCCTTTATCACTTCAGCTTTATAAAGATAAACTTGTTTCCGCCAACACAGGCATTTGCCAATTTAATAACCGATATTATGGTTTTGAACTAATGCCATTTTCTGTTTCCCAATATGGATACGTTAAATCATTTGATGCAAAGAGAATAGATATTTCTTCATCATAGCTCAGGCGCTCTGCGAAAACAATAAGACTCCTGCTATATTGTGAATAGCGATCGTTCTAATGCAATTATCATAACCATGGGCTACATAACAGTTTAGAAAAAACATCAAATTAACTAATATCTCATTTATTTTTTAAATTAAACAACAACAGTCATTCAAATTATATTAATTTCAATATGTAAAACAGATATTTTAATATATTAAATGGATGTATTAAAAATAACTAAAAAAATGACCATAGTTTTAATAAAGTTTTAATCGTTTAAAAAAATAAATGAATATTATTATTCAGCATGGATGCATTTAACTAATCAACATTTAATCAAGTGACAGCAAAGGCTTTTACATTGTTACAAAAAAATGATATTTTTAAAGAAAGTTGTACTTTTAAACTTTCTTATTATCAATGTTGAAATATTTTTTTTTAGGATTCTTTGATGAATACATCAAAGAATCCTGAAAAAACTTCTTTCAACATTGATAAGAAGAAATGATTCCTGAGCACTAAATCATCATATAATGATATCTGAATGATCATGTGACACTGCAGACTGCTGAAAAACAAGCTTTTCACTCAATAATAAACTACATGGAATAAAATAAATTAAATAAATTGTATTAATATTTCATAATATTACAGTTTTTACAATATTTTTGATCAAATAAATGCAGCCTAGGTGAGCATAAGAGATTTCTTTCAAAAACATACCCCAAACGTTTGTATGGTATAGTGTGTGTGTCATCACGCTCCGAGTGTTTGATCATGTTGAAGGGCATACACAAATATTGACAAGTAAAGTAAACTGCCTTGCTTAGCATGTATGGGGCATGCATTTGTATTTTATCATGCATGGCTAGAACGCTTTATTAACCAACCAGAACTAGGATTACCCTTTTTCATGAGTGCATTCAAATGGCAAAAGAAAGCTAAAAGATACAGTGTGCCTCAGCAGTTGAACTGTCTGTTTGATGTCTTCACACCGAGTGATGTTTGCATACATCACACTCACATCAGCTCTTTCTGCAGAGTGCCGATGTCATCGCAGGAATGCTGACAAACGCCACTGCACGTCATCTCACGTGAACTGCACAACATTCCAAGAGCCCCAGTAAAACTGAATCTAGCACACACAAAATCTCTGGCCTTTTGAAATTGAAAACGGCAGGTCGCATCACGCCGTTGGTGAATTCCACAGGGCTCCAGACGAATGAAAACAAGACCCAGGCATCTCAACATAGCTCTCATTTGCATTACGGGGCTGATGAGTCATTTGGAGACTCCGGATAAAGACAGGGCTGCGGGAGGAAGAGGAGGAGGGCGAAGAGCTTCCCTCAGCGGCGTGCAGTCGAGGCAAGGGTTCCCCTGCAGCAGTGTTTAGAGGTCTGGTGCCTAATCTCTGATGAAATGTCTATTATCAGAGACTCTGCGGGAGAAAGTGGAGCAGAACAGATATGATGGAGAGGCGATTAGCTTCTGCCCTGCTGCCTCCTGCTTCCCTCCAGCTCACTCAGTCATTCATTCATAATGTGCACCTCCTGTATCAGCCCGTGTCACGAGAGCAGAGAAAGTTTGCATGAAATCCAGCCGACTGGTGACAATTTAAGTGCGAGTGTCTGATAAAGCTCACACAGGCAAGAGGCTGCTAGGTGCAGTGCACAAATCTCAGATATGACAGTAACTCGTGCCGGTCGCGCTCGTGACGAATGGCTTCAGAGACGCATTGTAAACTGCATTAGGATGACAGTTTTTGTAATTATGAGTGTCATGGCGTATGGCCTTTTCCTCTGGGAGCCCAGTCCTGCTTGTCTCTTTAATGAACACGTATAGCTACATTTAAAATATATCCCTGTAGCCTGTAACATTTAAAAACAGTGGCCGGGATCCACTAGAGGCCCTCAAGATGTCCTAAGGCCTGTTCATACCAAGAACGATAACTAGCGTTCACGCCAATGTATGATAACGTTCTGTTTATTATAAGCACATGTTGCATTTATGTCATCTGCCACTTGGGCTTCTTCGTTTAGGGGTTACACTTAGCTTCCTCCCGGTCAAAAAAGACCGAAGCCTTAAAATGTAACTTTTTTTCCCCCCAGGAAAACCAATGAAATATATTTTTGTTCAATAATATTTTTTTATTATTATTTAGAATTTTTAAAGATTTTTAGGATACTTTGCATTAATTATATAATTTTTATGAGCTATTTTTTTCCATTAGAATTAATATATATATATATATATTTTTTTTTTCAATAAATGCAACATTTCACATAAAAATAGAGTGCAGGCCAAAAAAAATAATAAAAAAAATAATTCAAGTGAGAAGAGCGTCATCTAGTGGCTTTAAAAATATATAAATGTGTGAAATGTCCTGTAGGCTGCCTATAGCTTCCTATATAAATACATAGAACGGCTTTTTGATTCACACTTCTAATTTATGTGAATATAATGTTGAGTTTTAACATTCAAACTTAAACTTTTAATATTGTTGTGGACAGTTTTGGAGTCAAAAACTATGGTGTTATAAGATGCTGTTATAGTCCAGCCTGGTCTGTTGACTGGTTATGGAGCAATTTTGGGCACTTTTCAGCTTGGACAGGTTGGAAGACCAGGTTAAAGGGTTAGTTCACCCAAAAATGAAAATTAGAGTTTTCTGTCCCTCCATTGAAAATGTATACACGGTATAACGCGGATTGACAACAGAACCGGAAGAGAATACAATGCTGAATAAAGTCGTAGTTTTCGATGCTTCAAAACATTCTAACTAACCCACTGATGTCACATGGACTACTTTGATGATTTCTGTATTTCCTTTCTGGACAAGGACAGTATACCGTACATACATTTTCAATGGAGGGACAGAAAGCTCTCAAACTAAATTTAAAATATCTTAAACTGTGTTCCGAAGATGAACGGAGGTCTTACGGGCTTGGAACGCCATGAGGGTGAGTCATTAATGACATAATTTTCATTTTTGGGTGAACTAACCCTTTAAGAATAGGCTGGAGGACCAGTTTAAACCAGGCAGCTATAGGACCACCAAACCATTGTAGACATCTGAATTCTTGAACAATCTTACATAGAATCCAAAGCGTTTGAATCCTAGTGACAACTGTGATTTGTAAGTCTGCAGTGTTATGAGAGAGCGATGGTGAGAAAGCCAGCGTCCACTCGCTCCAATCTGCATGATAATCAATCCAGACTCATTCAGCCAATCAGACTGAGCAAAGAGACCCAAATTACTTCATTTAATACGTGATTTAATTCAGAAACATAAATCATCACATTACTGACAGCTCTCATAGAGCCGTTGGGAAGGGGGACAGAGCGGCGAGCCGAGCGAGAGAGACTGAATTAAAACCTTCAGACCTCCTTTACCTCTCCCTGTGGACGCGGCAACATAATCTGAAGAGAATGTACATTTTTCATAATAGAATTAATAACCAATTTTAAATTATGTCCCAGACTTGTGACCCAAGATACGTTAATTATTGATCACCCATTTCTGTGAAGAGGTGTTGTAATTACCTAGCATAATGTGACTCCTTCATCACATTTAAACATTTATATTGCTTATCTTTCCAAGGAACCCCTGGCTAAGTTTTTCCAATTACACTGATCAAATCGAGAATGTGGGGGTAATTCTTCTTTTCTTCAATTAGAACTATCTGTAGTATACATAATTTATAAAATTCCGTCATACCGTGGCGAAATGAGAGAAAGATAATGAATATCTGCTACTTACAGTTACGAGGGGCAGACAGGTTCAGGTTTGATGATGACGAGAGGGCCTCATCATTCTCCAAAGTATGTTCTTCATACCATGTTCAGAATATATGGCCGTTATGCAAATTATGTTCCTCAGAAGAACTTTTGTGAAAAATCTACAGCCATTTGTGATTTTGCTCCACTTTAACTTTAACTGCACTCTAAAATAAGCCCATATTGTGTATCATTCTTTTCTTTTGTAGAAATATCTGCAGTCCGGAGATGTTTCATAACCCTGAAAGTGTTAGGGATAACCCAATCAGACTGCAAGAATCCGATCTCGATTCTTCTCTAGGCCGTATAGATGACCACCTCAGACCAGGAAGCATCAATTCCTTTTAACCTCCTCAAATATGATCGTTTCCCCTTCGCCTTGAGCTCTTCGATGCAATTTTAGGCAATGAAATCAGATCAGAGGACAATCGCACTCCATCATCTGAATATGAGATCCACCCGGCATCGTGCAAAGAAGTTCCGAGACAAATTCCCGTTATCTTGAGAAACTTTATTGATGGTTATTGTTATGCAGATCATAGTGCATGCACATACAATGACAAGGAGAAAGCCTGTCCACAACACGTACTTAAAGCAGAAAGAGCAGAATCACAGCAGTGGGTAAGATATTTTTGCCAAGTTGTGTGATGTGACGCACACAGTACACAAGAGGATATTTGCAGCCGGATAAATTGAAGCTGCTCTTTTGTTTGTATTTAATGCAATTGAAACTTTTATAAATACAAAATAAAGAAAAATGAGATATGTGACAAACACCTCTAATTAGGTATACTTGTAAACAACATGAAGGGAAGTCTTCGCATATGCACAGCCAAGCTGCGACTCTTCAAGAACACCTCGACAGCTTGTTTGTGTAGCACTTGTAAATGACATAGTTATCATTATTCCTATTTACATATAGATATCTTTTTCACAAGTCATATATTTCTCAGTTTCTCGAAAATCAAACAGTTTCAAAGTGTAAAGGCTGTGTTCTAGAAAATAATAGTACAAAGGATGTCACATTAAAAATGATATCAAAACGAAACACTCGGAAGAAGCAGAGAACCAAAAGAAAACGGACAACGGAACGTCTCACAAGTGAGAAGTGGTGGTGATGAAAAAATTGCAGGTTGTGTGTGCAAAATTGTACAGTTGACAAAAATACTATGATTATATCTACATAATGATTGCATTACTTGTAAAGTGTTGATATAAATCTGTGTATGATTCCATAAAAAATGAGACACCTTTCTCTAACAGTTGGTCTACCACACTAAATCTAAAACATTATACAGTTGTGTTTTTCGTATAAGAGAACATTTTCACTGCACAGATCAAATTTAATACACTGTTTATTTTTTCCCAGTCTCATCTTGTACAAATAATCAGTTTCTTAACTTCTGAGAAAAAAAAGAAAGAAAAAAAAAAAGAAAAAAAAAGAAAAGAAAAAAAATATATATAACCGGCGCAACCGCCGCCATCTTTTTTTTCTTTTTCGTGTTTTGTCTCTCCCGTATTATAAAAGTCAGCATTTATATCAATCGACGTACTGGAAGTACTGTAATATAAAAAGAACAACTCGTGGTAGGCCTAAACTAGCGAGGGTCTGACTTGAGGACTAGATAATAGTTAAACAGTAAAAGACTGTCATGATGAATTTTTGGGGAGTTTCTACGAGCTGCTATGTATAGTCTGAATATACACATTGAACACCCCAGGAACATAACCTTTGGCTTTGAGTAATGACTGATATAAGACAGCTTAAATAATCGATACCTCAGTGGTCTCTTTGACCGGCTCTGTGTCTTCTCTGCGCTCGGGGAACTACACCGACTTTACTGGCAGTCCCCGGTCTTTCGGTCTTCCCACCACGCAGATGCCCGTATCTACGCCTACCCACAACCCCCTGCGCACTCTTCCTTTACGGCACAGAACCCAGAAGCGAAAGAAACCAAAAGAAAGACGAAAGGCGATGTCAACGAAAGCGTAAACCACTGGACGACTCTAGTCACTTACACTCTTACAAAATATGATAACCCCGAAGTGACTTGAATATTTATCATACATAACTCATTTACATGATAAAGCCCTAACAATTTGTATCTTCTTATTTTTTTTCATCTTTTTAAAATCTAGCAGCTCTCTAGATCACCACAGAAACCTCTACAGCCAACAATCTATGTAATCTTTAGAAATTAAAAACCCACAATATTAAAATACACAGCACAAAATATCTGAGGTATAAGATGAAAAATATCCGTTTTTGTCTTCTCTCTCTTAAGAGATGCTAAAATGATGCACTACTGCATGTATTGCAATACCCAGGCCTCTGAATTACTCCTCCTTTACCCCCACAGGAAGATTCTCAATAGGTTTTGAAAGGTTTTTTTTTTAGTATGGCGCGAAACGACTGTATCCACCTCGGTATATACTAGCCTGCAAAGAAGAAAGAACGAGACCCACATCATCGGCGTGGCTTCTGGTCTTGGCATCAGTCAAGGGAGCGAAAGCATTCTGGAAGAGAAGCCACGGGTTTGGACACGTTTAATTGACACAGCTCAGAGGGGACCTCCGCTAGCATTCAGGCTATTTACCGTACATACCCCCCGGACGCAAACCAATCACGTTCCATCATGCAGCAAGCACACCGACACACCTCATGCCAGAAGAGATGCATTTAGCTACTTAAAAATGTGAAAGGGGTGAAAGAATACATGAGTTAATAGAGCAAATAATAAAAAAGAGCAACATATGTAGAGTTTCATACGCTGCAAAATCATTTTCTTAAAGGGTTAGTTCACCCAAAAATGTAATAATTACTCCCCCTCACCCTCATCCAAAGACCCGTAAGACTTTTGTTCGTCTTCGGAACACAAATTAAGATATTTTTGATGAAATCTGAGAGCTCTCTGATCCCACCATAAACAGCAATTTAATTACCATTTTCAAGGCCCAGAAAGGTAGTAAAGACATAGTTAAAATAGACCATGTGACTCCAGTGGTTCAACCTTAATGTTATGAAGCGACGAGAATATTTTTGTGCGCAAAAAAACAAACAAAAATTACGACTTTATTCAACAATTTCTTCTCTTCCGTGTCAGTATCTGACGCTGTTCACGTTGTAAACACAGCGCAGCAGTTTCCGGTTCTACGTCAGAACTCCAGCTGCGTATTGGCTGGATCCTGCATCAGTATCACACGCATGCGTTGTGGTGCTCACGTGAACAGCGCCAGAGACTGACACGGAAGAGAAGAAATTGTTGAATAAAGTTGTTATTTATTTATTTGGCGTACAAAGTATTTGCGTCGCTCATAACATTACATTTGAACCACTGGAGCCACATGTACTTTTTTAACGATATCTTTACTACCTTTCTGGGCCTTGAAAGTTTCAATGACGTTGCTGTCTATGATAGGGATAAGCTCACGGATTTTATCAAAAATATCTTAATTTGTGTTTCGAAGATGAACGAAGGTCTTACAGGTCTGGAACAACATGAGGGTGAACAATGACAGACATTTCATTTTCTAACCCTTTAACCTGTATTTTCGTCTTATCTTCAGGCAAAAATCTGTGAAAAGACAAATTACCAAAAAACAAAACTGTATAATATATATCTGAGAAACATTTTTATCTGAGTAAAAAAAGTTTTTTTTAGGTGTGGTCACAAACAAAATTTTAGCAGTTTTGCAGGCAAAAAAAGGAAATATTTTGGTAAAAGTGTATATGTATGTCAGAAGCGATATAGCCTCGTGGGAAGTACTCCAACATCGGGCGAACTGAGTTTAGCTTCCTGTCTAATCTTCACTGTGCTATACAATAAAGAAAGAAAAAAAACTCCAAAAAACAAAAAATAATGCTCACACAGAAGTAGGGTTGGGTATCGTTTTTCTTTCTTTCTCGATACCGGTGCCAAATCAATAATTTTAAAATGGTACCGGTGCCTAAACGGTGCCTGAACCGATACTTTAAAAAAAGAGAGCCTCAAAACTATGTTGAATGACATTAAATAACGTTTTTTTATTGAATCTTTTTTTAAAAAAAAATTCTTAAAGGGGTCATATAATGCCATTTTTGTACAAGCTAATATGATTCTTTAGGGTCTAAATTAAAAGTTTGTAATATACTTTAATTAAAAATTCTCATTAGTATTGTAAGAAAACACTTATTTTAACTGGTCAAAAACAGCTCTGTTTTCAGCACGCCGTTTCAGTGCATATAACTTTAAATGATAATGAGCTTTGCTCACCCCACCTCTCTGTTCTGTGCGTACACCGTTTGTAACTCAATAACACAATAACCATAACGCGTTGTTCATTATAAACGTGGGATTATGAATTATATTGAGAACGTCATACATAGAAAACATGCCGTAATGTACCCTGAGTGTAAACCTTAGACGCATTCATTGTGAAGCGTGCAGCTAGTGATTTGCAAAGATTAATATATTAATATAAAGTTTAATAAAACGTTACACTCACTTCCATTCTTCTGGAGGTTCATCAGGAACACGAATATCTGGTACCGATCCTTTTTTCATGAGCAGCTTCTTAGCAAATCCAGCTTTATACTGACCCTCGTTTATAAAGCAGTCTGGTGTGAAATGATTCGCGCAAACATGAGAGCATTGACGTTGCTCGTGGGGAATATTCCCTTCGAAAACAAACTCAGCCACTGCGTCTTCAGCGGTTCGGATTTAGGAACATTAAAATGACTGTGTTCGTTATTACACCCAAGAACAGAACACCACAATCGCTTAGACGCCATTCTGCTCATAGACAGTGCTCCTCCAGCATATCAACAATGACCGCGCCTGTCCGCGCGGACTATGATTGACAGCTGGCTCACGAACGAGGGCGGGTCTGTGTTGAAACGCTGCTGTCAATCAACAATAGTGGGAGGGGCTTCCGACCGTGTGACGTCACACGGTTGAACGGCTTGATTTGAGGCAGGGGAAAACATATAAGGAGATTAAAACAAAAACACTGGATGGATTTTTATCATTTTATGATGTTTGTGTACAGGCACTGCCAACACACATTTCAGTACAATCAACTTGTAAAAGTGCATGTACCATTATATGACCCCTTTAAAATTGAATATATTAAATTTTTTAGAGTAAATATATAAATATAAGTAGTCTAATAAAACACAACAAATTTACATAAAAAATTCACAATAAAACCTAAGCCACCTAACCCAAATACAATAATTTAACACTAAATAACACTACAGTAATAACAGCAACATAGTGTGTATTCTTGGTTTGCTACAAACCAGCTTTAAATTTCAGCAATTCTTTTCACATTTTTTGCCTTCTCTGGACAAATACGACACCTCTCCTGACTTATTGCATGTCCTCCACAAGTTGACGCGAAACCCATCGTGGAAGAACGCCGTCATGTTTAGCACAACTGTGGGAATGAGTGCTCATCAGGATCAACTGAATGCTGGATTTTCAAAAGTATGTGAGGTCCGCGGCTCTATTGTTGCAGTAAAGTTGCACAACGTTCTTGAATGAATAATTTATTAGATGTACGCCGGTCTGTTATTGTATGGATATCGACTTTACATTTTCACACTAAACATGACGTGGAACAAATAACGAACTGTAATTGGTTGCGTTATGTCACTCAGTCCTTGGCTGATATTTTTATTCTTAAATACATGTAAGTGAATGTGTTTTGTCATTTAAGAAACCGTTATAATGATCATGATTCATGTTAGTTGATCTATAACACACAATGGGCGCCATATGTTAGTACGCACCGCAGTTCAGAGAATTGTATCTGTCAGGCTACAACACGTCAATTCATCCACTTCTCCCGAAATACATTAAAGTAAGTGGATGGTGAGGTGTGAGAAGAAGAGTAAATTTTATAGTTACCTACACAATGTGTATCTAAACACGTCATCCATTTATAATTGAAAGGTTTGTTATTGCCGCTTCCATAGACATCAGTGTGTATTTTATAAACTATATATGTTGTTTTTCTAGTAGCCTACTTATGTACATTTACATGTCTGAAACCTAAAATAAAGCTTGTGTGGTCGAAAACACTGAGTAGTTGTGATAGGCCTATATATGACAGCGCTGAGCTGGTTCCATATCGGTGCCCGGTTTCGGTACCCAACCCTACACAGAAGTCACTTTCAAAACCAACAGTCCTCTGTTAGTCAATGCGTTGAATTAGCATGACAAACTGAATTGCAAAATTTTTGTGTGCAATTCTTTCGCTCTTTTGTGAAATTCCCAATCCTGTGGGTTCCTATTGAAATTATTAGATTTCACCGGCAAAAATTTGCTGAGCACTGGTACATGTGACTAGCCTGGTTAAAACCAGACCATTCTCAGTTGTAACTGAGTTATGGTCTGGCAAAGCGTCATAGACAAATCATTTCCAGAGGGGCGTCACCAACGGACGTCGCGGATAGACCTAAACCCAATCAGAGCGATGAAGGAGATGACGTATGCAGAGCAGTGGAAAAACATCTCCGAGTGTTGTTCTTTGCTCGGTTTTTAACAAAAAGGAAACGTTCAAATCGCTTAAAACAGACGCGATAGCTGATTCGAACGAGTGATGTTCGACGGCGGCATCCATCTTTGTAATGTAGGCTACAAAATCTGCTTCAAAATCCTAGCGCTGTCGTCGTCGTGTAAAGCCCGCCCCAACGTTTCTGATTGGTGCCTCGATTTCGACGGATTGGAAATGGGCTTGAATGAGCTCTTTGCCAGACTAACATCTTAGAGCAAATCTAAATTTGCCGGAAGTTGTCTGGGTTTTCCCAGGCTAACATGTGACCACACCTTTAGAGAGGTTTATGCTTAAAACAAGAAAAAAAAAACTATTTGCAAATGGTGTAAGAAAAATAAACCTTCAAATAATGACATTTGTATAAAAAAAAAATCTCTGAAAACAAGAGTTCTTAACTTACACAGAAGTTTTAAGCAAGTTTGCTGGAAAACTAGACAAAAATACAGATTAAGAAGTTGATCTTTGCAGTGTGCGTTTTGTATGCAACGTGGACATTTTGCGATCAAAAGCAGTCCACGTACAAACAAGTCGCACATCGCAGTGGGCGCCCGGAGACCCCTGACGGTCTTCCTTGCACTCTTTCATCAATCCGTCTCTCCTCTGCTCGCTCCCTCTTTTAGCTGTTGCTACAGCGCCACTTAGGTGATGGATTTAATTATCAAAATGACTAATTATTCCATTAAGGGGAGCGCACGGCTAGGTGATATTCACAAAATTAGAAATATAATAACTAACATGCACTACACTGCCAAGAAATTAAGACATTTATCACGTTTACTGGGAGGATTAATGTGGCATTTCAGCTGCCGTTAGCACAAGAGACAAATTCAATTAAGTTTAAGTGAGGAGATGTCAGCAGTGCTAAAATCCATGCAGGAGGAAAAGGTGGGAAGAAAAGGGAAAAGAATGAGCATACATGACAAGCGTGCACAGAGAAAAGAGCAGGGAAGGGATAAATAAAGGGGTAATGAGGAAAGAGAAAAAAGAGAGAGGAAACGAGGAGGAAGAGGCAGGAACAGAAAAAAAATAAAAATCAAGCTCACCATGGCACCAACGCTGTATGTGGCTGCTGGAGCAAGTGCGTGGTTGTAGGGGTCGGCAGCATAAACTCGTCCGTAACTGTGGAAACAAAGAGACGGTCAGATTGTGCCGGCAAGTTGAAAATCGCTCCTTTTCTATGCAAACACAAATGTCATACAGTCATATACAACACCACGGTCTGAAGCAACTACGTACTGTATGGTGATGATTTCAGAGTGTTTGGAAAATGACAATCAAATGAAGTCAGAGAGGAGATTGCAGTCATGCTGCACAGGGCAGAGGAAGACATTACTGTTTGAAAGTTGAAGGGAAAGTTGTGCAAGACATCATTAGATGCTCTGCTCATTCTTATTCTGTGATTACGGGATGGCAGCGCTTACGGCAACATCCGTTTGTACATACAAGCTTTGGCAAATCGGTATCAAGAGGAACTTGCTTGTTTTTTTCTAGTTCAATAAACTTGCACAAAAACCCTTCAATTTTTTAGTATTTAATTTAGGCATATTGATCAAAAAGGCAAAAAAATACACCACAGGAGAAAAAAAACCCAAACAGACCAGAGATCAATGTTTTACAGCACTTGCCCAAAAAACAAATCAAAACATCTGTTCATTATCCTTGATGAAAATGTTCCAGTTTAATGTGAATGTGTGTACTTTTCAAGTGTCTTTTATCCTGAGATCTCACATTGTTCCCCCTCAAAGTACGAGTTAAAACAACCTGGAATATCTGCTGCTTCGAGCTTTGTTATGCATGCATGGTGTTTGGACCAACTCGAGAGACGATCAAAAGGCAGAGAATTTAGTCAATTTACATATTCCGCCACTTCTGGCGATTAAGAAGTTAATCCACTGCAAATTAGTACAGACATTGTTATTCACTACACAGTCGCTCTGTCTTCATATTTCAATGCGCGGCCAAGTATTTTGTTTGACCTGCGTTATCTGTGTTTACAGGGGTTAGTTTTAATGAGTATGCAGTGCAGTGATCAAACCAGGGCTGCCTGTGCTCTTCAGGAGCTAAGATTGAAAAGGTGACCCCTAAGGATATAGCACCTGGTGAATTATTCCTAAAGAATTAGGTAAGGGGAAAACGCTGATTGGATGTGTAACCTGAAATGCAAGAACTGGGGCTTTTAATGGCTTGTTTGAAGGACACTGTTGGTGTTTTCGTCTGTTTTTTGTAGCAGTGCTACAAAATTTAAGCTGAAACTCGTCCTTGTGACTATCGGTTTGTTCCTTTCCAAGATTCGTCATAGTAGACTCTTCCTGCCGCCCATCGAGACAGGTTGAAGGCAAACCCCCCTATCCACCCCCTGATTTATGAGACTGGTAAGCTCTATGTTTGTTAATGAACACCAGTGACTCTAACATACAGCTAAATTAGATCTGGGCCCAGAGATACAGGTTAATAAATCTCAGATGGCTGGGATATATCTGCATTATTGACTTGATGCTCATTATTTTGGAAAATGTGTGCTCCAGCAGCGCCATTCCTCTAAATGTATTGACTTTTCCCACCAGGAGACCACATGGACAGCTCATTTCTATGATTTCTTTAAACAATGCCGGGCTGTACTTTAGGAGCTCTAATGCGAGTTGCGGATCCTCTCCGCTTTACTATCTGATTACGTTGGTTTGTGAACGTGTGGCCTTCGGGGTTATCAGCAATTATTGAACTGGGACAATTAGACCATAATTTGCAAGTTTTTCAGACTCCAAATAACACATTCCAATTGTGTTTTACAGAAAACAGCTGATGTCTTCAAGAAAGTGTCGTCTGCTAAATTACAGCCTTGTTAGCATATTCATTTTCCCTGGTCGAGGCAGGGAATAAAGAAAAAGAAGAAAGGCTAGGGGAAAAAATAGGGTTGTCACAAAATCAATGTGTGGATGGACAAGTCCATTCTCCTTTCGGTATACCGCAACTCAAAGCAGTGACAATCACACTAGTGTCATTCCCAAGATCTAGCCACCTATAGCCAATGTGCAAGACACCATACACTACATGAGCAACCTTGATACCACAATGACAACATCACTAGCACTACACGCCTGTAAAATAATAACAAACAAACCAACCAACCAACCAAAAAAAAAAAAGCCCTCTCGAGCACACACACACATACAGATCTGGATGAGGGAGGGAAGGGCGATGGTGGAGAACTCAAAGGAACGATGGAACACAAGGAAGATTAAGAAAGGAAAAAAAGGAAAATCACAGATTCCAAGCTTGTGACAAGCGTGTTCATTTCACTCTTCAAGGAACACATGCCTCTTCCAAGCAATGCCATGGGAGAGAGAAACAGAAGACGAGAACGATGAATGCGATGCCTTCCAGCTATCCTCATGCAGTACTCCAAAACTACTCCACTCGTCCAAAAAAGAGCATTCAAGAGAAACGTAGTAAGAAAAAAACGTAACATCTACTAATCAAAGGGGGCAGAAATAAGGAGACAGCCGGGCAATAGAAGCACTCACTGTCAGGGTGCATTAAAAAAGGGGGTATATGCTCGCTCCCTCATGGGTGCATAGAGAAAGTGAGGGTGATTTGGTATTCATTTAGTTATTTATTTTACCTGAGGAGCTGTTACAAGAAATTTCATCTGCTGCAACGAAGACGAAATGATTTCTGCAAGAGAAGATAAAATTTACAATACCGCCTGCTGACTGGCTGGATGGACGAGAGGTGGGGGGGTGTAGGGGGGGCGGGTTAAGGGATTGGAAAGGGGGTAGGGGACGGATGGTGAGGGTGCTTGGCATAAATGGGTTTTAGTTCACAAGCAAAAACAACCAGAGCTCTCTGTGTGCGGCCCTGCACGCTGCACGGGTATCAACATGGAGGAAGAGGGAAAAGCATGCTGGGGGGATTAGAGATGCAAATGCGGGAGTAAAGAAGAGGGGTAAAAAAAGACATATACAGTATATCAGAGATGAGACTAAATCAAAACCTCGGACGGGGACCGATTCAATAGAAACTGCAGCTGTGCTCGAGACGCTTTTGATTTCGCCGCTCTAAACGTCCTCTGCTCTGTAAACCCCCTCCCTCCATCACTATTGTTCTGTAAAAGTCAAGGAACTGCATTCACAGCATTACTGAATAGCGCTGGGATGGGCTTGATCGGTCACATTAAAGACGATCGTCGAGCCCGTTAGAAACACCTGAGACTGCGACCATTATACATGGATTATATTGGAAATCAAAGCAGATAATATTATACATCAAAGTGCTTATGTCATACACCGTAAACTGTTCTTGGGAGTGAGACGAGAAGAGAAAGAAAACGAAAACTACCTCTGTACTCTGAACAGATTTATGTTAGATATATTTTAAAATGTCAAAATACTAGGTGCACTCATTAAACACTTTTTACATAAAGAAATAAATAGTACATTTTGAAAAATATTTGGGGTAGGTATGATTTAAAAAAAAAGAAAATTATATTTTTATTAAGCAAAAACTCATTAAGTTGATCAAAATTTTAATTTTAAATAAATTCAAATGAAATAAATTAAATCAAATATTTCTATTTTAAATAAATGCTATTCTTTTGAACTTTCTATTCATCAAAGAATCCTGGAAAACATATCACGGTTTCCACAAAAATATTAAGCAGCACAACTGTTTTCAACATTGATAGCGGTAATAATCAGAAATGTTTCTTGTGCATCGATGATGCTGTAATGATGCTGAAAACTCAGCATTTCCTTCACAGGAATACATTTTAAAATGTATTAAAATAGAAAATATAATTTTAAATTGTAATAACATTTCATTAACAAATTGCAAATAAATTGGAGAGCATAAGAGACTTCTTTCAAGAAAATCGTATTAGTCAACATTAAAGTCAAAACTGACCATATTTACTTTCTTAATGCATGTTCCTGGTCATCTTGTGAATGACTGATCAGTCCACGTTGTTATAATTTTTTTGTGTTTGTTTTTCATTATCTTTAATCAGAATGTAATAACATGCTCTTCTTCTGAAATGACTTTTTTCCCCTGCTGAAGTCACTTAAGACCAATGCCAAATTATTTAGACAAAGTTTTTTTTATTATTATTATTAAATTGTTTTTAAACTAACAAAACTAACATTGGTTCAATCGGCTCCCAGTGGAAATATGCAAATCTCGCCCTACTTTTAATTTTTTTTAAATACCCTCTGTCACTCAGAAATAGTTGGATTATGGAAGAAAATTTTATTACAAATGGCAAATCAAGATGACTATAAAGTTACGTACATTAAGAACAATAAAAAATGCTTTTTTTTTTGGTGACCATTTAAGACAATTCCAGTGCTATTCAGTAGTGCTGTGAATGCACTGTAATTCAATCATAAGTGCCACTAGGTGCCAGTAAGTTCAATACCACTGCTATACAGCCAAACGTGTGCAAAAAAAGACAAAAATTACTAAGTGCACCTTTAATCTTGTGAATTGTGAAATATATATTTAGATTAAATTTAATCAACATTTATTGTTTACAGATTTAAGTCAGCAGTATACAGGACTACAGTAGCCTTGTTATATAAAAAAAGACTCTTTAAATGCAAACAGGATTGGGGTAAATGGTGCATTCTGGGTAAACAAACATGATAGCATGAGCCATATTATTGGTTACATTACACGAGCTTCATGAGTCACTTCACAGGTGTGACAAATGATGTGTCATGGCTCGATCTCACGTCTAATTAGAGACATTGGCCGCCATATTGCCAGGCCCATTTTTAATTGCCGCTTGGAGCTATATTTAATAACTAAATGAATCATTCATTCCTGCTATGCATTCAGATTGAATCGGCCCTCTTAATCATGTTAGGGGGTTTGTTTTGAATACAATGTTCTATTTGGCATGACAGTATTGACCGTCCCAATGCGCAAACACACACGCACGTAACATGCACACACGCACGCACGCACGCACGCACGCACGCACGCACGCACGCACACACACAGGAGTAAAGCTCAATGCAGACATGCATTTGAACACATGCATTAAATTGTGCACTTTCTATAATTCATAGTGCCTTACAAAATTAGATATGAATTGGCTTCAGATATGACCATTCCAATCATACACATTAAAGACTACACATGCACTTCATGAAGACGCTAAAGTCGCAAGCACTTCATATGAGCAGTAGTACACTAGACTACACTGTATAATGTTTCATCTCTTTGTATCAGCAATTAGTGGTCACTGGCACTTCCAGGCAGAATGCAGACACCTGGTCAACACACTCAGGGGTGTAAAGCACTTGAGTAATTGTACTTCATTCATAAAAATAAAGTATAATTTTTGGAAATATGTACTTCACCAAAAACTAAACATTTGTAACTCTACTCAATAACATCTCTAATGAAAACATTATACTTTTTAGGTAACGTAAGTGTAAATCTTTCCTTATATTAAAAAATTCCAAAGTTTGTGGTCAGTTATAAAAATGTAATAATAATAATACAAATTTAAGTAAAGTTTTCTATTTGAATATATTTAAAATGTGATTTATTCCAGTGATGTCAAAACTGAATCTTCAGCATCATTACTCCAGTCTTCAGTGTCACATGATCCTTCAGAAATCATTCTAATATGATGATTTGCTGCTCAAGAAACATTTCTAATTATTATCAATGTTGAAAACAGTTGTGCTTCTTAATAATTGTGTGGAAACCACGATATTTTTTTTAGAATTATTTGATGAATAGAATAGCATTTATTTGAAATAGAAATCTTTTGTAACATTATGTCTTTACCATCGTTTTTGATCAATTTAATGTATAATTGCTAAATAAAAGTCCTGATTAAAAAAAAAATATATATATAAAAAAATTATGGTATAGTGTATATTTTGTTGGACTTCATGATGTCCCTTTGAATCTTTTAAATAAAATGTAATTTTCTCACATAACTGTATTGTCAACGAGAGATGTCAACATAATCTTTGATCCAGCAAAGCAAAGCTGTTTAATTACGTCATACCCATTCTTGACGACAAACACTTGAGGCTATACATAACAACATTCAAGTGTCAACACTCTCTAAGGAAAAAGTTTACTTTTTACTTAGAAATACTTTCACACAAGTATATTTTTAGCATGATACATTGATTTTTTTTAATTATGTGAAATCCCATATTGTCACTTCAGTATAATTTCTCAGTGCTTTTTACACCCCTGAGCATGCCTGGTATGCGTTAGCAGCATAATTTACTAATAAACTGAATGAATGGCCTTTGATACAAGAGTTTCAAGAGTTGCCTTAGCTTCCCGCACAACTGTTACCCCTGAGGGTTTCAGCTCAGTCCAGGGAGCGCCAGAAACACGCACAACGGGCCACCTCAACCTCTCCTGAACAAGCATCGCGGGTACAGAGGTCACGGTGGGTTGTAGGAAACCGTGTACTCCTGACCCACGTGTCCCCGGCCCGCAGCTGTTCAGATGGGAGCGGTCGAGCCTTGAGCGGTGACTTCAGAGAGAGAAACGGCCCTGACCCGGACTCTGCATCCCAGCAGCATCGACCCTGAACATCTCTGACAGAGAGCGAGTGAAGCTCTGACAAACAGCAGGAACCAGATGCAGAGGCTAACTGCTAATGAGACCAGCTGCGGGACGGCTGGGTGTCGGAGTGCGCCACTTTGTTAAGATAAAGCTTTTGGGGTATTGATATCCGCCACCATGGAAGGCAAGAGATCAACTGCAGTCAAAACACTCGCAGGATTAGCGGAGATCAGAGATGATATCTTTCACACGAGATGATAACATCTAACAACGCTGAGAGGTTATTTTAATGGAGGCAGATTGAACGATTAAACTCCAACTGTCTAAAAAACGTTACTCATTGAGACATGAATAATTAATTTTTTTATGAGGGAAGAGAGATTATAAGTCATTTACATTGGAAATGAATAATTCAATCGTTTTAAATCTGAAAAATTAAAAAAATGAATGACTTCTCAATAACAATCATTTATAAGCTATATCATGAAAGACTAGTCTTATGCAAACTCATTTACCTAGAATTTGTATCGGAAAACCTAATTTGTATGTTGGGCTGCGGTTTCAATTTCCCAAAGCTCCTATTATTCTCAAAATGTGTCTAAAGGTAAACAAAATAATTCAAATGTTATTGAGAGGCCTCTTCATTTGCATAATCAATCAAGCAGGTTTCTGCAGAGAGCGAAACAACATTAAGGAAACTTTCTGAATTTAATCAGTTCGAGCATTAGCATTAGCTCTGCCCACTGGCAAAGCAATGACTATGTCTACTAGTATAACTACATTTTTAATACAAACTGAACCACAGGCAATTTTGGGGGGCTCATAGAACATAGTAAAAGAGAGACTAAGATCTGTATTACTGACAAAACACTTAAAGCAATTGCTGAAACACATCATTCATGTCTGTAGCAGGACGAGCTGTGCACAGATATCTGATACTGTCTGATACCCTACGTATGAGCAATAGTAATACTGATGCTTAACTTAGAAAGTAGTGTCACAACTGTTTATTTATCCATTTCCCAATAAATGGATCAGAATCCATGTTAAATAAGAACAGAAATGATGTAGATGGTCAGAAAATGTCAAGGTAGGAAAACTTCTTGCATTTATTAAAGTATTAAGTATAAGTCTTCCAAATATTTAAATGAATACTTAATGCAAAATTAGTAAATGTAAATGTGAAAAGCTATACTATCTTAGAAGCTATACTAGAAATGTCCCTGACTGTATCAACCATTAAAAAGTTTAGGGTCAGTAAATTAGAATAATAATTATTATTATTATTATTTTATTCAGCAAAGATGCAATTAAAAAGATTATTCTTTTGAACAGTGCTTCATCAAAGAATTCTAAAAATATCAAGTCTAAAAAAATAAAAGTTTTCACAAAAAAATATTAAGCGGCACAACTGTTTTCAACATTGATAACAATAAGAAATGTTTCTTGAGCAGCAAATCAGTATATTAGAATTTCTGGTTAACTGACTTTCTGAAGTATCATCTGACACTGAAGATTGGAGTAACGATGCTGAAAAATTAAATACAGTAAACAAAATACATTAATGTTTTAAAACATATTACAAAAGAAAGTTGTTTTTTAAATTTCACAATATTACTGTTTTTACTTGCTACGGTAAGCATAAGCAACTTTCAAAAACAGGAAAAAATCTTACTGACCCCAAACCTTTGAATGGTACTTCTTGATGTACTTCTTTTTTATTTAACATGGATTCTGTTCAATCTATTGGTAAATAAGTAAATAAAATATTTTAATGTTTAACTTGGACAAGCTAGTGCATCTTTTACATGAATTCATGATTGCCATATCCGAGAGTAATCGAACCAACAGAAAATCAGATTACCGCTATACCATAAAAGATTTCTCATAACAAGAAGCCACAGAACAGCAACAAGAGCCCTTGGAATCAATAGCGTGGTTTCTAAGGACGGTATTACTCTAATCTCTGAGGACAGTCTACTGTATTTTTCAGAGAAGTTCCCTGCATTTGAGGAGGACGCATGTGATTATTGAACTGATCATGAAACCACCCAGCCTGGCAACAATTACAAACACTAAAGACTCTACCACATGCAGCTCACGGCCGGCAGACATCCAAAAGTGCGCTCGGGTGCGTTTCGTCCCGATCCGTGGCTAATGATCTGCCTTTGCCGCGGACTCTAGGATCTGCATACACACAAACACTCCTGAGATGATTACATAAACATGATGTAATGATGATGAGCACCACGCACAACCAGTCGGGTGTGATTCACGGCACACAACTTTCAACATGCATGCAGGGACACTGTTGACAGATTATGACAGCACTGCTAAGATGACATGATAATCAAGTGTTGCTTCATCTAGTTATGGCTGCACAATATCAGTTGTTACATGTCGGATGACAGCATTACGATCATTATTTGGCATTAACAGTCATGAGCAGATATGCTTTTGTGTCATGCGAATGTTTTACAATCACATCAAGGCTCCGAATTTGCTTTATTCTTGATTGCGTGCCATCTGCAATAAGCTTACACTCACAATTGACAAGAGAGAGAGAGAGAGAGAGAGAGAGAGAGAGAGAGAGAGAGAGAGAGAGAGAGAGAGAGAGAGAGAGAGAGAGAGAGAGAGAGAGAGAAAAAGAAATCAAAATCAGCCAAGACGACTTCCTCTGGTCGCCCTGCCAAACGGGCTTTTGTCTCATCTCTGAGGAACTGTCAGGTCTATCCCACTTCATTCTGCAGTTACAGTTGCTCCACCATGGATGCGCTTCACCATTACATTTGCAGTGACATCTCATTTGATTTAATTTGCCAATTACTGCACTGGGCATCGTGATATTCCCCATCACCACTGGCGAGGGGAATTAGGCTAATAAATCAGGCTGGCCTTTTTTTTGTGTGGAGCGCACGCCTGCCTCTGCTCGTGACAAAGGGAGAGAGTTTGACCTCAGAGGAGTAAGGGTGAGAGAGAACGAGGCTGGGTTGGGTGTTAAGGGCCCCGCCGGAGGGCCTGGTAAGGTGGTGTTGTCAGTGGTATGCAGGCAGCGGTGTGTGTCTTACCTGTCACTGTAGGCAGCGGCGGTAGCAGTAGCAGGCTGAGTGTATCGGTAGGCAGCGTAACCACCCTAAGAAACACAACACACACACACGCGCTCACATGGGCACCTCGACAACAGATGTTTGGACTTTTAAAATATGTTTGTGAGAAATAAAAGAGCAATGGTGGGGGGTGGGGGGAGTTGGGTTTGATGTTATGTGCTGTGACAGAGACTGTACGACTGAATCTCATGGAGATGAAGAGGCATGGAGTGCTTTTGGAGAGCAGCACGCGACAACGTCGCATTCGTTCACTCGGAGTTCACGATATCGGCGCACGCAATTGCCGGCATGCTCCAAAAGATGGGACGCACATGTCATAATCATAGCTATTAAATATGCATAATCTAATTACAAAGCAGCAGCCTTATGTTGGTGTGAGTCAACCTAGTTTCTTATTCATCTCATGCATGCATCTGAGGATTAATTATGTAGCGCTGTCATACTACACTACTTCTTTTTGCCAACGACAGAGAAAGAAATAATTTCAACATGTGGAACGGTAACATCTGATGTTCAGTTAGGCAAAAAGGCCAAACAAACACATCCAGTCAAAAGCGCATGTGTGCTGATTTGAACGGTGTTGTTTCATAGTCAATGACTGTGCGAGATGGAGCTGCCTGCTTAAAATACTCCCACACGGTCAGTGCTGTGCTGTGGATTTTTTAAATTGATTTTTTCAAAGAATTAATTATTGTCTTTTAATTTAGTGTCAACCATTTTTGTCTTATCTAAACCCACAGCCGCATTATACCCTTTATAAATACTAAACCAGATATCTGCCTCTGTCTGGAGTCTTTAAATAAATGCAGTGTCATCAATACAAACTATCATACTTGCACCGCAAAAATATTTTTTATCATTATTAATAATCTTTATTTAAATTAATTATCTTTATTTTCCATCCATTTAACTTGTCAAAATTATTTCTGCAATTTGTCTTTCATTTTATTTTACACTTGATTTACTTTTCAGAGCTTGATTTTCTTCATTAGTAATTAAACTTAAAACAGTTGAATAAAGTAAAATAAATCACTGGAAGTTGAGTTGTGACTGGCACCAATTTGATACCAATTTTAGGTGCAACACCTACACATATTAATTGTAAAACACATTTAAACCCCTAGAACCTGCTTAAGGTGGAGGGAAGGAAGGAAGGAAGAAAGAAAGAAAGAAAGAAAGAAAGAAAGAAAGAAAGAAAGAAAGAAAGAAAGAAAGAAAGAAAGAAAGAAAGAAAGAAAGAAAGAAAGAAAGAAAGAAAGAAAGAAAGACTTAAAACCTAATCTATAATCATAAACCATGGTTGGGAATATCTGCTCTAATTTGATTGGTCAGGCGACGTTGTTTAGCTAACTAATAAACTGACAAACATTTAGTCTGACATGCAAGTTATATTCTTATATATTCTTTTGTACAAAACTGTAGATTAAAAGCAATAATACACTAGCAATTGGGCTGTTTTACTAAATATTCAGAACAGCACTCTTGCTTGTGTGATGTTGTTTGATGCAATGTAATATTTCCTAATATTTGGTGTATTTTTGTACTGGTGATTTTTCTCTCATCCATTTTTTTTGAGGAGGCACAGCTTCCTTTACCACTCCCATTAGCAGTCCACAGAAAACACCAACCGATAAGTCCATCTGTACACCTCTGCTCTTTCTCTGTTTCTCCAGGGCTTACTGGTCTCCTGACCCTGCTGTTCTCCACACCAGGCCTTCAGGCTGTAGTAATTACCAAGCTCCCTCTTCCTGCACTCACACATACATAACAGCAGCCAGCTGCTTCTCACAACCTTCTTCATGTTCCTCACCCTCCCACTTCCACGCAGCTCACCTCCGTCCTCAAACTCCTTCCATAATGACTCACCGGGTAATTCGACACTCCCACTGCGTGGCCGGCCCCTTAACAAACCATTTCATTTACTCGCACAACGCCGAGCCTGACACATGGCCGTGATGCATCTGCGCTGTATTTAAAGCCGGTGTGATGAGCTGCGGAGCGGGACGGCCGAACCCTTAGTCGCCAGGGCTGTCATCTCTGACAGACGGGGGCCGCGGGCATCTACATGTCTCTGAAGCTCCATTAGGCTTGGTCAACTAACCTCGGGGAAACTGACAGGGTGTGCAGGTGCGGTGAGAGCAGTGGTCAGGACTTTAATGCTGAGATGTGCATCTGTTGAGCAGCCACAATTTATCATTATGACTCACGAAGAGAGAGAGGAACAGATAGGGCTCCACTGATTCCTGACTGCTCGTATCTGTCTGGAGTGCATGTGGACATACTGAGCTTATCATGGTTATTGAAGCACATGGTGCTTTTCTCATACTTTTACTAGTGTGTGTGTGTTTGCCTGCCACGGCCGCTTGATGGCCTGTGCCAACAGGTGGGAAATAATGCAGAATAAGGGCTCCAATAAAAAAGTTCTAGTACATATTTTTAACATTATTACACGTCTCTGTGGAATACTCGATTCTGATTGGTCAATCGCGCCATCCAGCGGTAAGTTATTCCCAGATAACAACCGTTTAAAGACCTAATAAAATATTTCAACTCAGATCAATATTTCGTGTCTAATTATTTACTTACTGTATGTGGCAAGTACCCATGTAATAAGCAGATCCAGCCAGTGGTTCTCTCAAAATACCCCCCTTCAGGCTGATCAAGAGCCCTCCACTTCGCTTCGGGGTCCTCATCATCCTGTCGGGGGTCATTTTGAGAGAACCACCGGCTGGATGTACATTATCCCTTACACATGCAACAGTTAGTTCCAGTCCCAAATCAGACTGGATTGACTGTAACAGTTTATCAGCATCTGGGACGTGCTGATATTCACACTATGCATCGAGACTGTTTTCCAAGATGGGTCCTGTCTGTATGCGCTAACTGTACTGTCTGTGTAAAGTATCTTCTTATTAAACTGTCTATACACTTACAAAGTTCTCAATGCTTCGGTTTGCATGTAAGGACACTCATTATGCTAACGTGTTAGTGTGGGGCTAATTTCAGCCTTGTTAATGGTATTAACTAGCGATCTCTTTTTGCTTACTCGATGCCCAATATACTAGCGTTATAAGCTAAACTGTTTTTAGAGATAAAACTCTTTACATTCGATTATCATGAAAACAAATCTCAGGGAACGATTTAGTCTGTACCAATGTGTTATTACACCCGAGGTTCATTTTGCGCCGGAGTTCTCCTTTAATGGTAGTGACTCTTTCTGCAGTTATATGAACACACCAGTAGGTGGCGGCAAGTGACTGTCTTTATAAGTGAGTCATTGATTCATTGAATCACTGAATCATTCATTCAACCGATTTGTTCAAAACCGTGAAAGAAACAACGGACTGTCTTTATGAGTAAGTAATTTAATCATTCACTCAACCGATTTATTCTTATTATGCGACACGCTCTATCATTTCAATGAGCTGTTTGCGGAGGAACACGATTACAATTAAGTTTATTTTACTCATCTGTATTTTTGAGACTTTTAAAGTCTCAGCTTTCAATAAATTATATTATTTTCTCACAAAATAATAAAGTTTTGATGCTCTTTAATGTGGTGCGACAGATTGTTATAGCTACATCAGTTCAAACAGCAGTTTAAAAACAACTCAGATGTCCATAGCTCGTAAGTTAAATTCTTTAAAAAGCTAAATTTTTTCCAATCATTACAGATGTTGCAAATGGATTTGCTAGTTACAGTGTGGCTTTGGGCATTTCTGGATCTTCTAGAAACTCAGCCACATGAGGCAAATGTGAAGCACTTTATATTACAGATTAAATCGAGAGATATTACACACGCTGAGTCATTTATATTTGGTAGATCTTCCTGCCTTATTGCACCCCTGCATGTGGTATGTGTTCAGTATTTCTTTAACTTTTAACACATCTTAAGTATGTCTGTTCTATGCTAGTATAGCTTCATTTTTCAGACCTTATCCAACATTCAGTACATTTAGCAGAGCACTCAGCAAATTAAGATTGGTAATAAACAAATACAGTTCTTGAATAGTTTCTAATGAATATTAGATGATCTTATCGCAGCGGAACAATCAATCCCAGCCATTGTGGCACTGCGCTAATGACAAGGGAACAGAGGAAGCGTTACAGCAGCCTTCCCGTCATTTCCACGCACATTTGTACCCTGTACAATTTGTTTTGTCCCAGAGGAGGCCGAATTGGGGGAGATACATCAGGCTGTGTCAGGCTCAATGAGACATGGCCTTGAGGAGAACAAGCTTTCGGTCCCTGCTAGTTACCCCACATCGGCTCCAGATGCTTCTGCTAATCTCAAAACGTGACACTCCAGATAAACAAAAACATGCCCGTAGATTGCCAACGAACGCGGTGAAGATTTGAAAGTTCACCATTCATACAAAACCTACAATTTTACATGCAACCCCTTCAATGCTCATTTTTTTTATTAAAATTACATTTGAAAAAGTCTTGAATAAATATTAAGAGATCAATCTTTTGGAATAATTTTAGATTATAAAACGGATTATACAATATCTAATGTGATAATACTCGGTAACCAAAAATAGTGTATTACTTTCTGCTCCAATTTGCCTATATAAATATATTTACCCTCACAATAATCATGAATCTGTGTAGGTCTACTGTAGGTACAGGTACATACAAGTTTGCACATTGTACAATCCCAGCATGCCATGCTCTAATGCTCAATCTTAGGTCACTTTGAGTCTCACCCTAACTGGCAATAAACTCATTTGTAACTCATGTGTGAAAGTCTCTTGACACAATTAATGAAGGATGAATTAAAATGCTAACAATGGGGCGGGGGCGGGGGCATGTACATGAACATTCAAGGACGACATGCGAATACTTACATAAATATCTGCACCATAAAATCCGTCCTGGTAAACAACACTGGAAAGATGCAAACACACCCGCACACACAGACAAACACCAAACAAAACACATCAATATTAGTGCATGTTCCCATGCAAGCAATACCAACCCCACCTCTAGCCAGGGTTAGTGGAACAGAATAAGAAATACACACGCACTGAATAAGATACTTTCCAAAGGCACTCATAACTTCTGAAGCATTTTAGAAGGAGAACGTGGAGTAAAGACTTTGTAGAGGGGCCACAGAGAGCTGAAACATACTTACATCATTTTTTTAGTCTTTAGCAAAATTAAAAATATATATTTTGAAATATATATGAAGAATTTTGTGTCAAATTTGAGAAAAAAATAATAATTATAATTATGTGTTATTGATATTAATCAAACATCCAGGTTAGGAGTTGTTCTAAGTATTACACTTCTGAAATTAATTCAAGACCAAACAAACTCCATTCACACTTTTGTTTTGTAGATAATTTCAAGTGTGCTATTTATTTATTTATTATTTTTTTAAAATAATCTGAAGATCTTGAAAATCTCTTATTGACTGTCACTGGCATTCAATATTTTACTGAAGGTGACAATGATGTCATTGTAATATTTGCATATTGAATTGCGATTGGTCTTTTTTCTTTGCATACTGAATTACATAATGTAATCATTTCTGAGCCACATTTGAAGCTCTAAAATGCAGAAAATTCCTTGAAAAAGTATAAAATCTCTAAATTTCTTACTTTGCTGCCTAACAGCCACCGATATCTCCTTTGAATTTAGTTTTATTTATGTACCAGTTTAAATAATATGTATTCATTTATTTTCTCTGTGAATCTTCTAACCTTCATGTTTGTCAAGACAGCAGAAAGCGGAATTTAGTCAGTAGCCCCTGTTTCTAAACTCCACAAATTCTCCTTCAATATCATCTGCTTGTAGTTACGCACATGGAATTAGCACCAAAATAATCAGAATCATCATTTGACTGCTCAGAGATCACAAAAATCCTTCTACATTCAGTTGTTTGAGAGGATTTACGTAATGTTACATTACATAAAAGAAACGCTTAAGGCCATCGACCATGACAGAACGGGATGGACAGTTCAGTGTCATCATTACTTGCAGAATGCACGGGCTACATGCTGCACTGGTTCTGTGTGGTGAGGTCGAGATGCATGCATGTTACAGCAGCCCGGTGACGAGGGGGAGCGCTTGTCAGAAGGTGAACTTGTTTGTGTATGTGAGAAGGGAGTGTTGCTACTTACCCTCCATAGGCTGGGATGTGTGGGGGAGGCGCGGCTGCCCGGAACGTATTGTAGACGGTGCGCCCTCTTCCTCTTAAGTGTGCCCCTCTGTACGCCGCCGCTGCCGCCGTGGCTGCTGGGTATGGGAAGCCTGGCACTGTGCGGAAAACATACAGTATATACATGAGGAACAATTACAGAAGAGAGAGAGTAACACGGGTTTGGAACAGTACTTTTATCGTTGACAAAAAAAAAAAAAAATGCTGTTGTTGAAATAAAGCGGAAATAAAATAAAACAAATATTAGATGAAAAACTTAAAATACTATAATAGTACACAAAGAATACTAAAATAACACTGTGAACCATCATTATATAAATGTAAAATAAAAAGTTTTTCAAATAAAAGAGTTTGATGTACTGTGACATAACCATCATTAACTCCCATTCAATATTCAGCAACTTGATGAACCACCCTGATGAACGACAGTGTGAACTATGCTGGTATGCGAAGATTAACCAATCATAAAGAGTTAATTTACATACAGTATATATGCCTTAAAGGTGCAGTAGCAAAAAAAGTGTGAGAGGAGAATATAGTCATGTGAAACTAACTTTTTAACACAAAACCTTGGACAGTCAGCCGATCATTATTGCAAAATAAACCCCTGTCAGAGTGATTACATGGCTACTTGCTGAAATAAGTAACTAAGTGGACAAAGTATTGAAGTACTGAAATTATTTTAATATGTAAGAAGAAAGATATACTGAAAATTTTTCTTTTGCAAGTAAATTTCACGTATGGAATGAAGTAAAATCTACTAAACTAAGTTAAGTAAAATTAACACAGAAAATAAGTTTAAATAAGTTAAAAAAATAAAGATTTTAGAAATATAGAACTTTGTTGAGTAATTTAAACTTTTCATTTACTTTTCAATACTCTGTTTCAAGTACATTTTACTCAAGCAATATAACACCGATTTGAGCCATGCTTTTAAAGTGTATGCTTGGTACACAATACACAATAACGGTAACATTCGTTGGATAATTTTTGAGTAGCTATGAATGTGTCATTTAGTTTGTCACAAAACAGTAAATTACTCAACCTAACAACAAAAGCAGTGTAAATACAGCTGGAAAACAATGAAAAATGCAATCTTATTAATTATTCATGCATGCACGATGGTAACACCAGTATCAGAAAGTTGAGTAGGTTTTACTTAATTTTATAACGTTGATACTTACGCTCTAATTTATACAAGCTTAAATTGAGTAATAATATAGAATTTATATACAGAATTTGTTTTTTAAACTCTTGCCTGCACTAACTTATTCAGGAAGAAATTACAGGTTTCTTTCTGTAGTATTTACTTCACCACAGAATGATTTTTATCAGGGTGCTATGATAAAAGAGATTAAACAAGAGCAGTGTTGCTAGGGACGGTCAAAAACTATACAGTTATATAATGTAATATTTGACTGCAGAATGCCCCGATTGACCAATTAGAATCAAGTATTCCAGAGAGCTGTGTAATAAACTGCCAAATGAACTATAACTCCACAAGTCTCAACTAATATAAGCTGTGAGGAATGGTGCCCTACCTCCATTTACACCTGCAATTAGCCAAAAACTCTAACAATGAGTACTAAGCAAACTACAGGAGACATACAGACCTCTGAGGCTGGGTAAAAACAGAAAGCTCTGTATTGTTGTTAAATGATCATTAAGTTTAATAGGGCGTCGGTGGTGAAAATGACTTTTAAAAGGCTTCATTTGAAATGGTTGAGAGGAAGAAAGACAGAGGGGGTTTGTGAAAGCTGCTTCGTTCTTTAACATTACAGGTTTTCAAAAGGAGATCATATAAATGTCTAATAGGAGCACTGAATCTTTCATTTAGACGTTTAAAAATTCAGATTTAAGGAAGGGGTTTGCGTGATGTAGAAAGGTGAAAAGGATTGTTCCATTTGACTCTTTGTCACCTTGGATATGTCTCGCTTTCACGCAGTGCACCACAGCTGTCTTAGTATATTAAAGAGAGAAATACATTTTACATTCCAATTTATTATATTTATGAAAATGAAGGAAGACATTAACTTCCTACCACTGAAGTGTGTTATATTTCTAATGTTAACATGATTCTGATATAAATAAATGCTACCTTTTTTTTTTAATTATCAGAAGCATGTATGTATTCCATATATATATATATATATTAAATTTACATGTTATTCATCTCTTTAAATGTTTGTGGTTTATTACGAGGCTAAACAATAAAAATTAGATGACGCAAACAACCCAAGAGTTTGATAAATGCCTTTGAAATTGCTACAATGGAACATTAATGCAGCATTTTTTTAAAACAGCAATGAAGATTCATAAGTCACATGTATTCCTCCCTCCTTCCATTGCAGGCAGCCCATCTGACAGCCATTTTTGAAATATGCTGCATACACGTTTGCATATTTGCAAGAGCTTCACTTTGATGTGTAGAATGTGTCCTGAGGAAAATAAATATGAGATGTATTTAGCCTGAATATTTACAGGATAAACAACTTAGACTATGCACTTTCATTTAGAACGATGAAGGGTGGAGGGCTAGATGAAAACGGAGAGAGAGGGAGCTACAGTAAGTGGCGCTGAATGAGAAATGGGAGCGTGAGCAGCAGCAGTGAGCTCCAGGGGGATGCACAGGAGAGCTAGTCCGTTTTATTGCTTTGAGAGCGATTACAGTCAAGCAGATGCTCTGGCCGACGGGAGGTAGCCTCCGCATCAAAGCCATAAAAGTGTACAACTGCTTTGTAGAGCAATAATTTCTCTCATTGGCTTTTGTGTGGGAAGTGTTTTGGGGAGGGGCGGTTGACGGGTGGGCTGCAACATTGCAGGAGGTTCAGGGTGCCCTGTGTGCATCTCACTCTGCAACCTTACACAGTGCAGCAAACCGCAGAGACTCTTTTATGAATGCAATATAAGCCAGACCCACTTCGAGATTCGAGTAATCTCTCACAGCTTTCAGATAATATAAAATGCAATGCTTTGTGTATTGTGCATATTATTTTGCAGCTTGTGGTGATATACGGCGAAATACTCATGTTTGTTGAAAGCTATGGGAACAAGACTATCTATCTATATTTATTCGTATTTCTTTTTAAAAGAAAATTTTAATGTATGTGCAAAAACACACATTATGAAAATAAACCACTGTAATGTGTATTTTTAAAGGAGTGGTATTTAAGGTGGATGAATTATTAAAAAAAATATATAAAAAATAATAATTATGAAAATAATGAAATGAAAAGAAACTAAAAAAATCTAAATCAAACAAAAGACAATATTAATAAAAATTATTTAAAATAAAGTCTGAAATTATCAAAAATAAAATAATACATTATTCTGAAAATGATAGTATTTAAAATAAATAAATAAATAATGATCGTTATTAAAGAAAAACGAATTACATTTATTAAATAATTGAAAAATTAAATGGGGGGGGAGGGGGGGATCCTCATTCTGTTATGAAACAATTACTAGTCAGCTGGTGAATTGTTGGATAACTAGTTGACCACTGTGACCATCCCTATTTACTTGCAGTTATTTTCCTTTCAAAAGCATATATATATATATATATATATATATTTGTATGTAAGTAGACAGTCACTATTCACATACACTGTTCTTTACAAGCCCTCCCCAAATGGTAGTTTTAGAATACAAATGTATGTAATCTCACTGTGAGCAGTCTTTTGAAACACATTTCAAGTCTTAATGAATGTACATTTTTTAACACCTCTGTACACAAGTCAGGGTCATTTCATATTGTTTCTTCCCACAATGCAATCTCAAACGTTCAGTGTACGACACAGAACAGCCACCAAAGTACTTTCATTTCTCTTTAAAAACGCTTCGTCCTTCCGCTAAAAGCCGCTTGTTGTCTTCCACGATAGCCTATCTGCACAAATTCATTCCGGTTTGCTGCTGCCTTTTTGAAAATTCTCAAATTCTTCTCCCGTACTTTGTTAATTGCATGTCATTTTTCAAACTTATCATTCAGTATTTGCGAGTTCAAAAAAGCCCAGCAATGTTGAAAGTGCCAGAGGCGGTCGTTCAGTCAGGACTCAATCAAAGAGAGAGCAAGGACAGTGATGTCATACTGAAACACTGAAACATTAGCGCTGCGAAACTGTCAGTCAATACAAATGGCCCTCTATATCATTACGACCGACCATATTCCATTTCAGTTCATATGGTCGAAACTCCCTCAGCCTGTCTGTTTCTTCTGAAAATTCAATAATCTGAATGTTGGGCACAGAGAAGTCGCCCTTCCTTTCCTCTCACTTAAGGAAATGAGTTTAACAATTTGTGATTAATTATTTCTTTGTCAATAAACATTAATGATGAGAAATTGAGGTCAATATATGAATGTGCATGTGTGTGTGTGCCGTCAGAGAAACGTGATAGTCTGAGTGGTGTTTAGTCTTATGAATGTGATTCTTCAACTTATGTCTCAGGGGTTGATTTTAAATCAAACAGACCTTTTCCTTGGGTCATATGAGGAATCTTTAAATATGAAAATCTATCATAAAAATATAAATGATATCTTTAAAACTATAACAATCAACATCAAAGATTAAACTAACAAATAGATGTATTGTGTGAAAAC